TAGTTTAAAGACGCAGTGTGATATTGGCTGTAGTTTAAAGACGCAGTGTGATATTGGCTGTAGTTTAAAGACGCAGTGTGATATCGGCTGTAGTTTAAAGTCTTTAAAGACACAGTGTGATATTGGCTGTAGTTTAAAGACGCAGTGATATTGGCTGTAGTTTAAAGACACAGTGTGATATTGGCTATAGTTTAAAGACACAGAGTGATATCGGCTGTAGTTTAAAGACGCAGTGTGATATCGGCTGTAGTTTAAAGACGCAGTGTGATATCGGCTGTAGTTTAAAGACGCAGTGTGATATCGGCTGTAGTTTAAAGACGCAGTGTGATATCGGCTGTAGTTTAAAGACGCAGTGTGATATCGGCTGTAGTTTAAAGTCTTTAAAGACGCAGTGTGATATTGGCTATAGTTTAAAGACACAGTGTGATATTGGCTGTAGTTTAAAGACGCAGTGATATTGGCTGTAGTTTAAAGACACAGTGTGATATTGGCTATAGTTTAAAGACACAGAGTGATATTGGCTGTAGTTTAAAGACGCAGTGTTATATCGGCTGTAGTTTAAAGACGCAGTGTGATATTGGCTGTAGTTTAAAGTCTTTAAAGACACAATGTGATATTGGCTGTAGTTTAAAGTCTTTAAAGACACAATGTGATATTGGCTGTAGTTTAAAGTCTTTAAAGACGCAGTGTGATATTGGCTGTAGTTTAAAGTCTTTAAAGACACAGTGTGATATTGGCTGTAGTTTAAAGACGCAGTGTGATATTGGCTGTAGTTTAAAGTCTTTAAAGACACAGAGTGATATTGGCTGTAGTTTAAGGACGCAGTGTGATATTGGCTGTAGTTTAAAGTCTTTGAAGACACAGTGTGATATTGGCTGTAGTTTAAAGGGTTAAAGACGCAGAGTGATATTGGCTGTAGTTTAAAGACGCAGTGTGATATTGGCTGTAGTTTAAAGTCTTTAAAGACACAGTGTGATATTGGCTGTAGTTTAAAGGGTTAAAGACACAGTGTGATATTGGCTGTAGTTTAAAGGGTTAAAGACACAGTGTGATATTGGCTGTAGTTTAAAGGGTTAAAGACACAGTGTGATATTGGCTGTAGTTTAAAGACGCAGTGATATTGGCTGTAGTTTAAAGACGCAGTGTGATATTGGCTGTAGTTTAAAGACGCGGTGTGATATCAGCTGTAGTTTAAAGACGCAGTGTGATATCGGCTGTAGTTTAAAGACGCAGTGTGATATCGGCTGTAGTTTAAAGACGCAGTGTGATATTGGCTGTAGTTTAAAGTCTTTAAAGACGCAGTGTGATATTGGCTATAGTTTAAAGACACAGTGTGATATTGGCTGTAGTTTAAAGTCTTTAAAGACACAGTGTGATATTGGCTGTAGTTTAAAGGGTTAAAGACACAGAGTGATATTGGCTGTAGTTTAAAGACGCAGTGCAATATCGGCTGTAGTTTAAAGACGCAGTGTGATATCGGCTGTAGTTTAAAGACGCAGTGTGATATTGGCTGTAGTTTAAAGTCTTTAAAGACACAATGTGATATTGGCTGTAGTTTAAAGTCTTTAAAGACACAATGTGATATTGGCTGTAGTTTAAAGTCTTGAAAGACACAGAGTGATATTGGCTGTAGTTTAAAGACACAGTGTGATATTGGCTGTAGTTTCAAGTCTTGAAAGACGCAGTGTGATATTGGCTGTAGTTTAAAGTCTTTAAAGACGCAGTGTGATATTGGCTGTAGTTTAAAGTCTTTAAAGACACAGTGTGATATTGGCTGTAGTTTAAAGACGCAGTGTGATATTGGCTGTAGTTTAAAGTCTTTAAAGACAGAGTGATATTGGCTGTAGTTTAAGGACGCAGTGTGATATTGGCTGTAGTTTAAAGTCTTTGAAGACACAGTGTGATATTGGCTGTAGTTTAAAGGGTTAAAGACGCAGTGTGATATTGGCTGTAGTTTAAAGTCTTTAAAGACACAGTGTGATATTGGCTGTAGTTTAAAGGGTTAAAGACACAGTGTGATATTGGCTGTAGTTTAAAGACGCAGTGTGATATTGGCTGTAGTTTAAAGACGCGGTGTGATATCAGCTGTAGTTTAAAGACGCAGTGTGATATTGGCTGTAGTTTAAAGACGCAGTGTGATATTGGCTGTAGTTTAAAGTCTTTAAAGACACAGTGTGATATTGGCTGTAGTTTAAAGTCTTTAAAGACACAGTGTGATATTGGCTGTAGTTTAAAGGGTTAAAGACACAGAGTGATATTGGCTGTAGTTTAAAGACGCAGTGTGATATCGGCTGTAGTTTAAAGACGCAGTGTGATATCGGCTGTAGTTTAAAGACGCAGTGTGATATTGGCTGTAGTTTAAAGTCTTTAAAGACACAATGTGATATTGGCTGTAGTTTAAAGTCTTTAAAGACACAATGTGATATTGGCTGTAGTTTAAAGTCTTGAAAGACGCAGTGTGATATTGGCTGTAGTTTAAAGTCTTTAAAGACACAGAGTGATATTGGCTGTAGTTTAAAGACACAGTGTGATATTGGCTGTAGTTTAAAGTCTTGAAAGACGCAGTGTGATATTGGCTGTAGTTTAAAGTCTTGAAAGACGCAGTGTGATATTGGCTGTAGTTTAAAGTCTTTAAAGACACAGTGTGATATTGGCTGTAGTTTAAAGACGCAGTGTGATATTGGCTGTAGTTTAAAGTCTTTAAAGACACAGAGTGATATTGGCTGTAGTTTAAGGACGCAGTGTGATATTGGCTGTAGTTTAAAGTCTTTGAAGACACAGTGTGATATTGGCTGTAGTTTAAAGGGTTAAAGACGCAGTGTGATATTGGCTGTAGTTTAAAGTCTTTAAAGACACAGTGTGATATTGGCTGTAGTTTAAAGTCTTTAAAGACGCAGTGTGATATTGGCTGTAGTTTAAAGTCTTTAAAGACACAGTGTGATATTGGCTGTAGTTTAAAGACACAGTGTGATATTGGCTGTAGTTTAAAGTCTTTAAAGACACAGTGTGATATTGGCTGTAGTTTAAAGGGTTAAAGACACAGAGTGATATTGGCTGTAGTTTAAAGACGCAGTGCGATATCGGCTGTAGTTTAAAGACGCAGTGCGATATTGGCTGTAGTTTAAAGTCTTTAAAGACGCAGTGTGATATTGGCTATAGTTTAAAGACACAGTGTGATATTGGCTGTAGTTTAAAGTCTTTAAAGACACAGTGTGATATTGGCTGTAGTTTAAAGACGCAGTGATATTGGCTGTAGTTTAAAGACACAGTGTGATATTGGCTATAGTTTAAAGACACAGTGTGATATTGGCTGTAGTTTAAAGTCTTTAAAGACGCAGTGTGATATTGGCTGTAGTTTAAAGTCTTTAAAGACGCAGTGTGATATTGGCTGTAGTTTAAAGACGCAGTGTGATATTGGCTGTAGTTTAAAGTCTTTAAAGACACAGAGTGATATTGGCTGTAGTTTAAGGACGCAGTGTGATATTGGCTGTAGTTTAAAGTCTTTGAAGACACAGTGTGATATTGGCTGTAGTTTAAAGGGTTAAAGACGCAGTGTGATATTGGCTGTAGTTTAAAGTCTTTAAAGACGCAGTGTGATATTGGCTGTAGTTTAAAGTCTTTAAAGACGCAGTGTGATATTGGCTGTAGTTTAAAGTCTTTAAAGACACAGTGTGATATTGGCTGTAGTTTAAAGACGCAGTGTGATATTGGCTGTAGTTTAAAGTCTTTAAAGACACAGAGTGATATTGGCTGTAGTTTAAGGACGCAGTGTGATATTGGCTGTAGTTTAAAGTCTTTGAAGACACAGTGTGATATTGGCTGTAGTTTAAAGGGTTAAAGACACAGTGTGATATTGGCTGTAGTTTAAAGACGCAGTGTGATATTGGCTGTAGTTTAAAGTCTTTAAAGACGCAGTGTGATATTGGCTGTAGTTTAAAGTCTTTAAAGACGCAGAGTGATATTGGCTGTAGTTTAAAGTCTTTAAAGACGCAGTGTGATATTGGCTGTAGTTTAAAGTCTTTAAAGACGCAGTGTGATATTGGCTGTAGTTTAAAGACACAGTGTGATATTGGCTGTAGTTTAAAGTCTTTAAAGACACAGTGTGATATTGGCTGTAGTTTAAAGGGTTAAAGACACAGAGTGATATTGGCTGTAGTTTAAAGGGTTAAAGACACAGAGTGATATTGGCTGTAGTTTAAAGACGCAGTGCGATATCGGCTGTAGTTTAAAGACGCAGTGCGATATCGGCTGTAGTTTAAAGACGCAGTGTGATATTGGCTTTAGTTTAAAGTCTTTAAAGACGCAGTGTGATATTGGCTGTCGTTTAAAGATGCAGTGTGATATTGGCTTTAGTTTAAAGTCTTTAAAGACGCAGTGTGATATTGGCTGTCGTTTAAAGATGCAGAGATCAACTGATTGGCAACGACTGGCAGATACAAACCTGCTACATGTTAGTTTGAATGTGTAGTTTATCTTTCATTGATGTCTGATGAGGGATCAGCTGCTGTCGTCAGTACGCTCACTCCTTCGTAGACTTTGACCAGACCACCACAGTGGGTGCTGTGGCCCCAAGAGGAGAGGAAGAGAGCCGATAGGGGCCCTGCTGGATAATGTCTCTCTGGACCAGATGGGACAAACAACAGTGCTAACATCAGCAGCAGAATCAAACTGTGGTTGAGTGAGTCAGCAGCGTCTCTGTTCAGCACTTTGTTGTTTAGTTTTCTTTTTTTACCATCAGACGCCTGAACGCAGCGTCTCTGGAAAGTCCCCACTCTTTACTTTCACTTCCTGTTCGTCAGCAGCCAATCAGAGACAGAGCTGCTGATGACTCATCAGTTACCTGGAGCAGCAGGTGGTTGTTGAACAGCAGAGAGAGAGGAGGAGCTCAGACGCCCCCTACTGGATCAATATCAGATCAACAATAACAATACAGACCATAATATATTTACAACTGAAATCCCACTAAAATATCACCAATACATATAAAGACTATTAAAAACTAAAATCAAACTGTTTGTTTACTTTATTTATAATGTTTCATAAATTCAACACAAATATTTTAAAATAACTTACTGAAAGCAAAAAATAACAAAATATAGAAATAAAGTGTCTTAATATTATTATTAATGTTAATAAGTCAGCCAATTAAAAAGCAGCTGCTCACTGTGTCATCTGTTGCTAGGCAGCAGAGCGTTGATGCTCAGCAGCAGTGAAACGCCCCCTGCTGGTTGTTCATCATCATTACACATATTATAAACCACAGATCAATAAATAAATAATATTCTGTTATTATATCACACTGCAGCTCTGTGATATAATAATATAAAATAGAGTTTAATTAATTTATTATTTATTTATTTTAATAATAATAAATTGTTTTATTGAAATAAATCAATACCTGCTGCTTCTGTAATTTATTATTTATTTTTGATGATTATTATAATATTACCTGACTCGGGTTTATGAGGGACAGTGATGTTGCCATGACAACAGTGTGTGGTGTGAAATAAAAGAAGATTTAATAACTTATATCAACATTAAACATTAAAACTAAAGTGCAGGTGAGCTGGCTCCTCCTCTTCCTGTTGCTGACTTCCTGTCAGTGTACAGGTGAGATCAGTGGGTGTTGATGTGCAGACAGGTGAGCTGTAGAGGACGAGTCATCCTCGTCATGAAGTCTCGCTCTCCTCGACTGAACCTCTTCTTCTCTGAAACAAACAGATTTATAAACACTGTTACAGGAAGTCTGGAGACCTTCAAAATAAATGTTAACGCTTTAAAACCTCATGTCTGAACTTTATTTAGTGATGAATGAAAACAATCTGATTATTGATTGTATATTGACTGTGTATTGATTACATATTCAATTCAATTCAATTTTATTTGTATAGCGCCAATTCATAACAGAAGTTATCTCTCTTTAAAACATTATTTCCTTTCAGATTTCCTAGCTATTTGTTTTAACTGACGGGTTTGGTGGTTATACCAAGGTGCTAGTCTCCTATGTTTTAATAATTTCCTTTTTATAGGAGCGATAGAGTCTAATGTTGATCGTAGTGAGCCTGTAGCACTATCGACAAGGTTATCAATTTCAGAGGGACTAAAGTTGTTATAGGACTCTGTTAAATTCAGACATGGCATTGAATTAAACACTGAAGGAATCTCCTCCTTAAATTTAGCTACAGCACTGTCAGATAGACATCTGCTGTAGGAAGTTTTGCCTAATGGCTTATAATCTAATAGTATGAATTCAAAAGTTACTAAATAATGGTCAGATAGGAAAGGATTATGTGGGAAGACTATTAAATGTTCAATATCAATGCCATATGATAAAACAAGGTCAAGAGTGTGATTAAAACAATGAGTTGGTTTATTTACACTCTGACAGAAGCCAATTGAGTCTATTAATGATATAAATGCGTTACTAAGGCTGTCATTGTCAACATCCACATGAATATTAAAATCACCTACAATAATTACTTTATCTGATTTAAGGACTAAGCTTGATAGAAACTCTGAAAATTCAGATATAAAATCAGAGTACGGTCCAGGAGCGCGGTACACTATAACAAATAGAACTGGCTGCAGTGTTTTCCATGATGGGTGAGAAAGACTAAGAACAAGGCTTTCAAATGAATTATAATTTAGTTTAGGTTTAGGGTCCATTAAAACGCTCGAATCATATATGGCTGCCACTCCACCTCCTCGGCCTGTGCCTCGAGGAATGTGAGTATTAATATGACTGGGGGGGGTGGATTGATTTAGGCTAACATACTCCTCGTGGGACAACCAGGTAAGACAAAGTAAATCAATATTATAATCTGATATTAATTCATTCACTAAAACAGCTTTAGAGGACAGAGACCTGATATTTAACAGCCCACATTTCATTCTCTTATTTTGTGCTACTGAGGAGTTGGTTTTAATTTTTATTAGATTTTTATGTTGAACTCCTCTTGTTTTTATTTCTTTAAATAATTTCGGTGGTCGGGGGACAGACACAGTCTCTATGGGGTTTTGGGTGTTGGATGTTGACGTCATACTTTAGCTAGCGAAGGCTGCGGCTAATAACAAACGCAGTAAAGAAACAGTTGTAATAACTGGAGAACCAGAGGAGAACCAGCAGAGAACCAGCAGAGAACCAGAGGAGAACCAGCAGAGAACCAGCAGAGAACCAGCGGAGAACCAGTAGAGAACCAGCGGAGAACCAGTAGAGAACCAGCGGAGAACCAGCTTTAGAGGACAGAGACCTGATCCAGACTTTATAAATACTGTGACAGCTCAGAGGTCAGAGGTCAGGTGACCCACCTGTTCTGTAGTAAACCAGCAGCCTCTCTGACTCCAACTGCTCTGCTAAGCCCCGCCCCTCCTCCAGGACCAGCAGCCAATCCCAGCTCAGGACCGGGACCCAGCACAACAGGAGAACCAATCAGCTCCAAGTAGCCTTCAGCCTGGTCCTGGTCCTGCCCCGGGGCATTGTGGGAGATGTAGTTCCAGTGAGGCAGGAAGACGGGATGATTCAGCCACAGAGGAGAAGGAGACAGGCACTGGAGAGAGACAGACAGACAGACAGACAGACAGACAGACAGACAGACAGACAGCTGTTAAACGTTTCTGGTCCAACAGACGAAAAAACACATCAACACAATGACATCAGACCCTGAACGCACCACGCTGCAGGTGTTACACCCTCAGACCCTGAACGCACCACGCTGCAGGTGTTACTCCCTCAGACCCTGAACGCATCACGCTGCAGGTGTTACAACATTAAACAGACATTAAACAGATATTAAACAGACATTAAACAGATATTAAACAGATATTAAACAGACATTAAACAGATATTAAACAGACATTAAACAGACATTAAACAGATATTAAACAGACATTAAACAGACATTAAACAGATATTAAACAGACATTAAACAGATATTAAACAGATATTAAACAGACATTAAACAGACATTAAACAGATATTAAACAGACATTAAACAGACATTAAACAGATATTAAACAGACATTAAACAGATATTAAACAGATATTAAACAGACATTAAACAGATATTAAACAGATATTAAACAGACATTAAACAGATATTAAACAGACATTAAACAGATATTAAACAGATATTAAACAGATATTAAACAGACATTAAACAGATATTAAACAGACATTAAACAGACATTAAACAGGCATTAAACAGATATTAAACAGACATTAAACAGACATTAAACAGATATTAAACAGACATTAAACAGACATTAAACAGATATTAAACAGACATTAAACAGATATTAAACAGATATTAAACAGACATTAAACAGACATTAAACAGATATTAAACAGACATTAAACAGACATTAAACAGGCATTAAACAGATATTAAACAGACATTAAACAGACATTAAACAGATATTAAACAGACATTAAACAGACATTAAACAGACATTAAACAGACATTAAACAGGCATTAAAAAGACATTAAACAGATATTAAACAGATATTAAACAGGCATTAAACAGGCATTAAACAGACGTTAAACAGACGTTAAACAGACATTAAACAGACATTAAACAGACATTAAACAGACATTAAACAGGCATTAAACAGGCATTAAACAGACATTAAACAGGCATTAAACAGGCATTAAACAGATATTAAACAGACATTAAACAGACATTAAACAGACATTAAACAGACATTAAACAGATATTAAACAGACATTAAACAGACATTAAACAGGCATTAAAAAGACATTAAACAGACATTAAACAGATATTAAACAGGCATTAAACAGACATTAAACAGACATTAAACAGGCATTAAACAGACATTAAACAGATATTAAACAGGCATTAAACAGGCATTAAACAGATATTAAACAGGCGTTAAACAGGCGTTAAACAGACGTTAAACAGGCATTAAACAGACATTAAACAGGCATTAAACAGACATTAAACAGGCATTAAACAGACATTAAACAGACATTAAACAGGCGTTAAACAGACGTTAAACAGGCATTAAACAGACATTAAACAGACATTAAACAGACGTTCAACAGACGTTCAACAGATATTAAACAGACATTAAACAGACATTAAACAGGCATTAAACAGGCGTTAAACAGACATTAAACAGATATTAAACAGACATTAAACAGGCGTTAAACAGACGTTAAACAGACATTAAACAGATATTAAACAGACATTAAACAGACATTAAACAGGCATTAAACAGGCATTAAACAGGCGTTAAACAGGCGTTAAACAGACGTTAAACAGGCATTAAACAGACATTAAACAGACGTTAAACAGACATTAAACAGACATTAAACAGACGTTAAACAGACATTAAACAGATATTAAACAGTCATTAAACAGGCATTAAACAGGCGTTAAACAGACATTAAACAGATATTAAACAGGCATTAAACAGACATTAAACAGACATTAAACAGGCGTTAAACAGGCGTTAAACAGGCGTTAAACAGACGTTAAACAGGCATTAAACAGACATTAAACAGGCATTAAACAGACGTTAAACAGACATTAAACAGACATTAAACAGGCATTAAACAGACATTAAACAGACATTAAACAGACGTTCAACAGACGTTCAACAGATATTAAACAGACATTAAACAGACATTAAACAGGCATTAAACAGACATTAAACAGACGTTAAACAGGCGTTAAACAGACGTTAAACAGGCATTAAACAGACATTAAACAGACATTAAACAGACGTTCAACAGACGTTCAACAGGCGTTCAACAGACATTAAACAGACATTCAACAGGCATTAAACAGGCATTAAACAGGCATTAAACAGACATTAAACAGATATTAAACAGATATTAAACAGACATTAAACAGGCATTAAACAGATATTAAACAGATATTAAACAGGCATTAAACAGACATTAAACAGACATTAAACAGATATTAAACAGGCATTAAACAGACATTAAACAGATATTAAACAGGCATTAAACAGACATTAAACAGATATTAAACAGGCATTAAACAGACATTAAACAGACATTAAACAGATATTAAACAGACATTAAACAGGCATTAAACAGATATTAAACAGACATTAAACAGACATTAAACAGACATTAAACAGGCATTAAACAGGCATTAAACAGACATTAAACAGGCATTAAACAGGCATTAAACAGACGTTCAACAGACGTTAAAAAGACGTTAAACAGATATTAAACAGGCATTAAACAGACATTAAACAGATGTTAAACAGACATTAAACAGACATTAAACAGACATTAAACAGATATTAAACAGACATTAAACAGACGTTAAACAGACGTTAAACAGACATTAAACAGACATTAAACAGACATTAAACAGACATTAAACAGGCATTAAACAGATATTAAACAGGCATTAAACAGACATTAAACAGACATTAAACAGACATTAAACAGATATTAAACAGACATTAAACAGACATTAAACAGATATTAAACAGACATTAAACAGACATTAAACAGACATTAAACAGGCATTAAACAGACATTAAACAGACATTAAACAGATATTAAACAGACGTTAAACAGACATTAAACAGATATTAAACAGACATTAAACAGACATTAAACAGACATTAAACAGACATTAAACAGACATTAAACAGATATTAAACAGACATTAAACAGACATTAAACAGACATTAAACAGACATTAAACAGATATTAAACAGACGTTAAACAGACATTAAACAGATATTAAACAGACATTAAACAGACGTTAAACAGGCGTTAAACAGGCATTAAACAGACATTAAACAGACATTAAACAGGCGTTAAACAGACGTTAAACAGACGTTAAACAGACGTTAAACAGACATTAAACAGACATTAAACAGGCATTAAACAGGCATTAAACAGACATTAAACAGACATTAAACAGACATTAAACAGACATTAAACAGGCATTAAACAGATATTAAACAGACATTAAACAGATATTAAACAGACATTAAACAGATATTAAACAGACATTAAACAGGCATTAAACAGGCATTAAACAGACATTAAACAGATATTAAACAGGCGTTAAACAGACATTAAACAGACATTAAACAGACATTAAACAGATATTAAACAGACATTAAACAGATATTAAACAGACATTAAACAGGCATTAAACAGGCATTAAACAGACATTAAACAGACATTAAACAGATATTAAACAGACATTAAACAGATATTAAACAGACATTAAACAGATATTAAACAGACATTAAACAGATATTAAACAGACATTAAACAGATATTAAACAGACGTTAAACAGATATTAAACAGATATTAAACAGACATTAAACAGATATTAAACAGACATTAAACAGATATTAAACAGACATTAAACAGGCATTAAACAGGCATTAAACAGACATTAAACAGGCATTAAACAGATATTAAACAGATATTAAACAGACATTAAACAGATATTAAACAGACATTAAACAGACTGTTGCGGAGGCTCAGAGATAGTAGACTGGCTTCTCTGATTTGTAATCGCGAAGTGTGCGTCTGCTAGAACGCACCTAAAGTTCCCCCAAGACTTGGATACAAATTAGGAAGGAGACAGTCAATCCATTTATGGCGCTTTAATCCAGTGTGGTTCTGGAATAACCCAAAACAATAACAGCCATCAATAACAGGTCACAATATGCTTAACTATAGCACACAAATTAAATAATAATATAATCATCCTTAGCATGAAATTATATGAACATCATATAAAGAAGGAATATACATTATATGATATATCCCATATTAACTGACAACAAAGGAAGTGGTCAGTGGAATAAATATAACATAAATGACCATTTACACCATCAGAGGTAATTGTTAACACTAGTAGAAATATGCATTGTAGCATCAGATATAATCTCAACCAGCAGACATATAAACAGATAAAATATACAACAATGACATTACATCCAGCAAATAAACAACATAACTTACGTTTCTCTGGACGCACACTGAACCACAAACGGCAGATCAACTGATACAAAGTAGCAACACAACTTCTACTGCCTGCCATACACACGTCTCAGACAGACATTAAACAGATATTAAACAGATATCAAACAGGCATTAAACAGACATTAAACAGACATTAAACAGATAAACAGATATTAAACAGGCATTAAACAGGCATTAAACAGACGTTAAACAGACATTAAACAGATATTAAACAGATATCAAACAGGCATTAAACAGACATTAAACAGACATTAAACAGATAAACAGATATTAAACAGGCATTAAACAGGCATTAAACAGACGTTAAACAGACATTAAACAGGCATTAAACAGACATTAAACAGATATCAAACAGGCATTAAACAGACGTTAAACAGACATTAAACAGGCATTAAACAGACATTAAACAGACATTAAACAGGCATTAAACAGATATCAAACAGGCATTAAACAGACATTAAACAGACATTAAACAGATAAACAGATATTAAACAGGCATTAAACAGGCATTAAACAGACGTTAAACAGACATTAAACAGGCATTAAACAGACATTAAACAGATATCAAACAGATATTAAACAGGCATTAAACAGATATTAAACAGACATTAAACAGATATTAAACAGACATTAAACAGATATTAAACAGACATTAAACAGATATTAAACAGACATTAAACAGATATTAAACAGACGTTAAACAGATATTAAACAGGCGTTAAACAGACATTAAACAGATATTAAACAGACATTAAACAGATATTAAACAGACATTAAACAGGCATTAAACAGGCATTAAACAGACATTAAACAGATATTAAACAGACATTAAACAGACATTAAACAGACATTAAACAGATATTAAACAGACATTAAACAGACTGTTGCGGAGGCTCAGAGATAGTAGACTGGCTTCTCTGATTTGTAATCGCGAAGTGTGCGTCTGCTAGAACGCACCTAAAGTTCCCCCAAGACTTGGATACAAATTAGGAAGGAGACAGTCAATCCATTTATGGCGCTTTAATCCAGTGTGGTTCTGGAATAACCCAAAACAATAACAGCCATCAATAACAGGTCACAATATGCTTAACTATAGCACACAAATTAAATAATAATATAATCATCCTTAGCATGAAATTATATGAACATCATATAAAGAAGGAATATACATTATATGATATATCCCATATTAACTGACAACAAAGGAAGTGGTCAGTGGAATAAATATAACATAAATGACCATTTACACCATCAGAGGTAATTGTTAACACTAGTAGAAATATGCATTGTAGCATCAGATATAATCTCAACCAGCAGACATATAAACAGATAAAATATACAACAATGACATTACATCCAGCAAATAAACAACATAACTTACGTTTCTCTGGACGCACACTGAACCACAAACGGCAGATCAACTGATACAAAGTAGCAACACAACTTCTACTGCCTGCCATACACACGTCTCAGACAGACATTAAACAGATATTAAACAGATATCAAACAGGCATTAAACAGACATTAAACAGACATTAAACAGATAAACAGATATTAAACAGGCATTAAACAGGCATTAAACAGACGTTAAACAGACATTAAACAGATATTAAACAGATATCAAACAGGCATTAAACAGACATTAAACAGACATTAAACAGATAAACAGATATTAAACAGGCATTAAACAGGCATTAAACAGACGTTAAACAGACATTAAACAGGCATTAAACAGACATTAAACAGATATCAAACAGGCATTAAACAGACGTTAAACAGACATTAAACAGGCATTAAACAGACATTAAACAGACATTAAACAGGCATTAAACAGATATCAAACAGGCATTAAACAGACATTAAACAGACATTAAACAGATAAACAGATATTAAACAGGCATTAAACAGGCATTAAACAGGCGTTAAACAGACATTAAACAGATATCAAACAGGCATTAAACAGACATTAAACAGATATTAAACAGGCATTAAACAGATATTAAACAGACATTAAACAGATATTAAACAGACATTAAACAGATATTAAACAGACATTAAACAGATATTAAACAGACATTAAACAGATATTAAACAGGCGTTAAACAGATATTAAACAGGCGTTAAACAGACATTAAACAGATATTAAACAGACATTAAACAGATATTAAACAGACATTAAACAGGCATTAAACAGGCATTAAACAGACATTAAACAGATATTAAACAGACATTAAACAGACATTAAACAGATATTAAACAGACATTAAACAGACTGTTGCGGAGGCTCAGAGATAGTAGACTGGCTTCTCTGATTTGTAATCGCGAAGTGTGCGTCTGCTAGAACGCACCTAAAGTTCCCCCAAGACTTGGATACAAATTAGGAAGGAGACAGTCAATCCATTTATGGCGCTTTAATCCAGTGTGGTTCTGGAATAACCCAAAACAATAACAGCCATCAATAACAGGTCACAATATGCTTAACTATAGCACACAAATTAAATAATAATATAATCATCCTTAGCATGAAATTATATGAACATCATATAAAGAAGGAATATACATTATATGATATATCCCATATTAACTGACAACAAAGGAAGTGGTCAGTGGAATAAATATAACATAAATGACCATTTACACCATCAGAGGTAATTGTTAACACTTGTAGAAATATGCATTGTAGCATCAGATATAATCTCAACCAGCAGACATATAAACAGATAAAATATACAACAATGACATTACATCCAGCAAATAAACAACATAACTTACGTTTCTCTGGACGCACACTGAACCACAAACGGCAGATCAACTGATACAAAGTAGCAACACAACTTCTACTGCCTGCCATACACACGTCTCAGACAGACATTAAACAGATATTAAACAGATATCAAACAGGCATTAAACAGACATTAAACAGACATTAAACAGATAAACAGATATTAAACAGGCATTAAACAGGCATTAAACAGGCGTTAAACAGACATTAAACAGGCATTAAACAGACATTAAACAGATATCAAACAGGCATTAAACAGGCGTTAAACAGACATTAAACAGGCATTAAACAGACATTAAACAGACATTAAACAGGCATTAAACAGATATCAAACAGGCATTAAACAGACATTAAACAGACATTAAACAGATAAACAGATATTAAACAGGCATTAAACAGGCATTAAACAGGCGTTAAACAGACATTAAACAGATATCAAACAGGCATTAAACAGGCATTAAACAGACATTAAACAGATATCAAACAGATATTAAACAGGCATTAAACAGGCATTAAACAGACGTTAAACAGACATTAAACAGGCATTAAACAGACATTAAACAGACATTAAACAGGCATTAAACAGATATTAAACAGGCATTAAACAGACATTAAACAGGCATTAAACAGATATTAAACAGATATCAAACAGGCATTAAACAGACATTAAACAGACATTAAACAGATAAACAGATATTAAACAGGCATTAAACAGGCATTAAACAGACATTAAACAGGCATTAAACAGACATTAAACAGATATCAAACAGGCATTAAACAGGCATTAAACAGACGTTAAACAGACATTAAACAGGCATTAAACAGACATTAAACAGACATTAAACAGGCATTAAACAGATATTAAACAGGCATTAAACAGACATTAAACAGGCATTAAACAGATATTAAACAGGCATTAAACAGATATTAAACAGGCATTAAACAGACATTAAACAGATATTAAACAGACGTTAAACAGACATTAAACAGATATTAAACAGACATTAAACAGACATTAAACAGGCATTAAACAGACATTAAACAGACATTAAACAGGCATTAAACAGGCATTAAACAGACATTAAACAGGCATTAAACAGACGTTAAACAGACGTTAAACAGACGTTAAACAGACATTAAACAGATATTAAACAGACATTAAACAGACATTAAACAGATATTAAACAGACATTAAACAGACATCAAACAGATATCAAACAGATATCAAACAGACATTAAACAGGCATTAAACAGGCATTAAACAGACATTAAACAGGCGTTAAACAGGCGTTAAACAGGCGTTAAACAGACGTTAAACAGGCGTTAAACAGATGTTAAACAGGCGTTAAACAGACAAACAGATATTTAACAGACATTAAACAGACATTAAACAGGCGTCAAACAGGCGTTAAACAGACGTTAAACAGACATTAAACAGACGTTAAACAGGCATTAAACAGATGTTAAACAGGCGTTAAACAGACATTAAACAGATATTAAACAGATATTAAACAGACATTAAACAGACATTAAACAGGCATTAAACAGATATTAAACAGGCATTAAACAGATATTAAACAGACAGTTTTATAGTTTTAAATAAAGAAATATGAACTTTAATAAGAAGCCACTGTGTTCTGTTAAATGATTTCTAAAAGCTAAAGAGTGTGAGACTGGTGGAGGATCGTATTAACAACTATCTGACGTATGCTGACGATACAGTCCTATATCCTTACAGCAGCTGGTTAGAGTTTGTTCAGGTTCTGCTCTTTATTTATTCTTTGTGTTAAATGTGCTGAACAAAGTGAGATATTAAACAGACATTAAACAGACATTAAACAGGCATTAAACAGACATTAAACAGGCATAAAACAGACATTAAAAAGACACTAAAAAGACGTTAAACAGACGTTAAACAGATATTAAACAGCGTTAAACAGACATTAAACAGATATTAAACAGGCATTAAACAGACATTAAACAGACATTAAACCGGCATTAAACAGACATTAAACAGATATTAAACAGACATTAAACAGGCGTTAAACAGGCGTTAAAAAGCGTTAAACAGATATTAAACAGCGTTAAACAGACATTAAACAGATATTAAACAGGCATTAAACAGGCATTAAACAGACATTAAACAGACATTAAACCGGCATTAAACAGGCATTAAACAGATATTAAACAGACGTTAAACAGGCGTTAAAAAGACGTTAAACAGATATTAAACAGACATTAAACAGGCATTAAACAGACATTAAACAGA